TTAAAAATAACAAGGTCCAAAGTGTGTTCTCCTGCTCACTGAAAACTCCTGTTCCCCTCCTGTTCAGGACTAGAGTTCGCTGAAAATCTTATCCCAGCAACACAACACGAAAAGGTGATCTACCAGCGTCACTGGATTGAAAAGATAAAATGAACAAAAAGGAACGAACTCACCAAGTTTAGCCAATTGGTTTCTTTAATTTTGAAAAATATATCGTTTTTTATATATCATCTGAAAAAGCTTCGTTTTCTGAGCACAGCGATATTTTTTTCGAACCTACACACTTTCATCTCGATTTTTAAATCAAGATTTAAAGCAAAATAATAACTTCACTGTTTGACACTAAACTAACAAACTGACAGCTCGCTCCCATACAAAGTGACACCGAGGGGCGCTAATAAGATGATTTTTGCAAATGTAATCGTTCTTATTTAAAATAGTTCCAGTTAACCAAAATTGATGAAATTTTGGGTTTGGGTTCCATTTTTAATGCAGATTACGAATATGCATTTACCTCAATACCCTTAAAGAACCCAATTGAACCTAAAGGCAGCTTGAGATGTCTTGATGGTGTTCACATTGCACACAGATACATCAACACACTACAAACACTATTTGCTTCGTTTCCTTGGCCGTGGGTAAAAGACTTCTCTTCTTCCTGCTTGATCCGGATCTATTCGCCGTTTCTAGGGTGCTTCACTGCGCCTACGGGAAGCTGGAAATATCCTCGTGCTCCTCCAGCGCTAGTCCTCTGATTCCGACTGCAGTTTTTCAAGCGGGGGTGCTGCTGCTGCGAGTGCTTCTTTCTTGCTGCCGGCTGACCAGCGGAACGCGTTTTGCACCCTTCGCTCGCGTTCGGTCCAAATTCGGAATTTCATCATGCCACTGCAAGTCCGTAGTTGAAAATCACTCGAGTCAAAATTTAGAAAAATTTCACATTGAACAAAATTGAAAAAATGACGGGAGGACACAAAAATCGCGTCCGTTCACGAGCACAGCACACTTCGATCCTCCGTCCGTAAAGGTACCAGCATTTGGATGCTGTTGGAAATTAGTCGAAGGGAAGATGTGGATGAACGGAGGTTGAGAGCCATGAGAAAGAAGAAGAGCAGCACTAGCCAATTTTAAATTCGTTAATGAACAATCTCAGCGGTTTGGGCCTCCTGTTCATTTATTAGAGTGTTCAAAAGTTCATAGCCAGAGACGCAGTCTTCATAAAAAATGTATAGCTCAGTTAGACGAATTCAGTATCCAACAGTGACTGCTGACATTAGGTAGCTATTTAAGGTCTATTGCTGCTTCTACTATCGACGGTTGGAATTTTAGATCGAATCCTTTGTGATTTCTAGATTATATCATTACCCGAGAAGCATGATGATACTGTAGAGGCACATCTTCCACATGCCGGTCTACCAGAATGACGCCAGGTACAGAACGTTCTTCTCATGGATGGACAGCTTCTGCCATCAGTCACAGTTCTCGTTTTCGTTAAGGGGCTGGACTTCGAGTTTCAACGTTATATTGGCTAACAGTTTCAATAATTGCCGACTATCTAGCGCATGTCAATCATCTCATTCGTTTGGCATCGTTGAACCAAGAGTAATAAATGTTCTACAAAACAAAAAGACTCACATGCATGTTATTTGATGTTCGTTTTACTTATAAACAGGACAGGCACAGTGATTACCCTCGTATTTACTATGCAATATGCACACAAATAGCTCGTTTAACCATCCGTGAGAACTTGACAATATAAACAAACTATCTCAAAAGTCATAACCGCAGGGTTGCCAAAATAAATGGGGTACTGAGACCGACTGTTTGATTGTCACACTTCGGCACATTCGGCACTGATAAAGTACTCGGTACAGATTGAGATGTGCAGAGTTGAGTACCCCTTGGTTCATGCACGTTTGGAAACTTTAAACGCATTTCCGGAGTTATTTGAGATTTAGGCGTAATTGCTTTTGTAAACAAAGACGTCAATTCTCGCGTCACTTTTCAAATAGACCAATCTACATTGATCGATTCTCTTCATCTCTTTCGTAAATAACTTTGCTGCATACATATTGCGTGCTAGTTTTTCTATATAGCCTGTTAAAAGAAAGTATTACTAAGCGTATTGGACAATAAGAACATTTGACCATGTTATTGGAGCGGAGTTATTAACTAAGGAGAAAGTCGATGATGAGAATCGATCAATGTAGATTGGTCTATTTGAAAGGTGACACGAGAATTGTGGATTTCTCTTGAATTAAAGCTCAATCTCATAAACAAACTATACCAAATGATAGAGGAATCACTCCTCTACCTCATAGCGTTATTAGTTTTCGAGGTTGAGCTTTTATTCGCGAGAAATCGGTGATTGACGTGTTTGTTTACAAATGCTAATAACGCCCAAATCTCAAATCACTCCGGATTTATGTTTTTTTTTAATTCTAAAATTGCAGTCACCATCTTGGTCTCCATGCTTTTTTTAACATGAGAAATACTTAACGACAAAAATTAATTTGCTTAGTTCATGAGGTATTGCATTTTGAAATCAACAAAAGTAAAAAATTATGAGAATGTGTCGAAAATTTCTTTAGAGGGCATTGCCTAATTAAGCCACGCGAAATTGAGGAAGAATGTATCCCTCCTGCCCCTCGTCGTTTTGTTTTTTTTAAACCATTCCCAAGCAACCATTGGCACTATATTTTGCCTTTTTTTTTTGTCATACAGTACTGGACAAAATAAATCATACACCCATATAATTTTTCTTTGGAGCTCGATATATCAGGTAGATTCAAACATACAATAATGGTTTGTTCTGCAATACTTCTGTATGTTTTTCGCTAAAACTGTGCAGGTATAGAATATTCAATATATTGTATGACTTTCTCAATCATCATTTATAAGTTGTAAAAGGAGAATTTCGAGTTGGACAAAATAAATCATACGCCTGATTTCTTATTGAAAATTCTTGTTTAACTCAACTTTCAACTTACATTTTAACACACTCAGTATTTGGTATGACCACCCTTTGCTTTTAACACTGCTTCCAACCGTCTTGGCATACTTTCGACGAGGTTTTGTAGATATCCTGAATCGATATTCTCCCACGCTGCTTCAAGTGCTTCAAAATAAACGTTTTTGTTGGAAACCGATGCTTTATCCACTTTGTTCTCCAAGTAAGACCACAAATTCTCAAATGGGTTGAGATCGGGAGATTGGGGAGGCCATTCCAGCATTTAGATCCGATTTGATTTGAAAAATGCCGTTGTTTTCTTCGCTGTGTGCTTTGGGTCATTATCTTGTTGGAAAATGTTATTGGATTCCAGGCCAGTTTTCAGTAGCGAAACTTCCAGATTTTCACTTAACAAGTCAATGTACACATCTGCAGTCATTATTCCCTTTATATGAGCAAAGCTTCCAACACCAGACCACGCAAATGCTCCCCATACCATGATATTTAGGCCTCCGTGTTTAACCGTCTTTTGAATGTATGGTTCCTTAAGAGCGTCACCGGAACCTCGCCAAACCCTTGATTGCCTTTTCTGTCCAAATAACTCAAATTTGCTCGCATCCGTCCACAGAACTCGTTTCCAGAAGTCCACAGTCATTCCGGCGTACTTTTTAGCAAATTCCAGTCGCTTCCGTTGGTTCCGCTTGTTGATAAAAGGACGCTTCGATGCCAAACAGCTTTTCAAACCGCTCTCATTAAGTCGCCGGTGAACAGTACGTCGACTTACATTGAGTTTCATCGATTGCACAATATGCCTCGATGAATACTTCGAATTCTGCTTAGCCATTCGAACAATTCTGATGTCATCACGATTACTTGTCGCACGATGACGTCCTTGTCCGGGTAAATTCCTCACAATTCCTCGTGTTTCGTACTTTTCCCATATGAGCTCCAACTGAGATCGAGTACTTTTCGGCAATTTTCCGAAAAGAAATTCCTTTTTCACGATCGCGAATCACCAAATTTCTAACATCGAGGGAAATCTGCTTTCCCGACATTTTTCACTTTTCAAATGACGCAAACAAAACACAATGGTGCGATGCGCACGCTTCCCGGAACAAGAACTGTCAAATATTACGCCGTGATGCCAAATCTTCAGATTTTGTTTTTATTCGATGGCTAAAAAATAAAATCTTAGGAGTGTATGATTTATTTTGTGCAAGCACAAAAGTTAGCATATATTTTCTTAAATTTGTAACAAAAATAGCAGAATATTATAACAATTTTCATTCAGCTAATTGAATGCACCATGAGAAATACTTGAACTTTTCTGAATATACTGCTGAAATTGCGTGCAGAATAGCAAAAATATCATGTAATGTACTTTTTTGGGTTGAGCGTATGATTTATTTTGTCCAGTACTGTATACCAGTGTTTGTAAGTTCTGATTAGGATTCTGGCAGGAAGGGTCACTTATTTCGCTTATTGGTTACTTGAGTTGCTTGTCACCGAATTGTGTTCCACCTCCGTTACGTTAAAATTACGCCAATATATGTCATATAGGATAAGTGTGCCAACACTAGTGCTCCAGTTTTCGGCCCGTGGGGCAACATTTTAGGCATAACATTTGATAACGGCACAATAGCATTGGTAAACAAACTTTCTAAGGCCCTTTACACGCGAACCAAAGAACGGCCACGCACACCAATACCACTTTCGGAAAGGTGATAGTTGCCCCTATCCGATGATGTTGTTTGTTTGCGTGGGCATACTTTGGTTCGCGTGTAAAGGGCCTTAGAAAGTTTGTTTACAAATGCTGTTGTGCCGTTATCAAATGTTATGCCTGATTTATCTTCTAACATTGTATCAAAATAAATTGTGTAAAGAATGAAAAAAAAAGTGGGCCAAAAACTGGCACATTCACCCTTCCAATCCAACAGCAAAAGGTATAAATCATTTATCAGATATCGCTTGCCGAAATAAGATCCGTCGACAGTCGCCCATGAAATCCAAATCAGCAATCATTCCAAGCTAAACATCTCCATCTCCCGTACAGTTCTCTCGAACCCCAAAATCCTGGCCGGAGTTGTGATCGCTCTCGTTGCAGTGGTTGCCGTCGCCATAGCAATCCCCCTGTCTATCAACTCCGGCGACGACAATGACCGCAAGGCTGACGAACAGAACGCTTTCTTCGGTCGGACCGTACTCGATGAAGTGCCACTTATCGACGGGTAAGTCCCCACCTATACTGCTGGTGTGTCGTCGTACGTAAACCATTCAAATGCACTAAATCTGGCTTCTGCGTCTCCTCAACAGGCACAATGATTTGCCGTACAATCTGTACAGCTTCGAGCGCAATCGAATCAACGATTTCAACTTGAATCGTGACTTGAAGGCTGATCCCAAGTGGGGAACGTCCAAGAGTAGCCACACCGATATTCCCCGTCTGTTGGAGGGTAAAGTGGGCGCACAGTTTTGGGTGGCGTACGTATCTTGCACCACCCAGTACAAGGATGCGGTGGAGCGCACCCTGGAGCAGATCGATGTGATCAAACGGATGATCGCCCAGTACCCGCAGTACATGAAGTACGCCACGTCGGCCGATGGAATCATGCAGGCCTTCAAGGAGAAGAAAATTGGATCGCTGATCGCAGTCGAGGGTGGACATTCGATGGATTCCCGCCTGGCGATGCTTCGGATGTTCTACGAGCTGGGCGTACGCTACATGACACTGACGCATTCGTGCAATACCCCGTGGGCGGATGCTTCGCCGGTGGATGCCAACAGTACAGCCGTGTTGAGAAACGTAACCGAGTGGGGCAAGAATGTGATTTGGGAAATGAATCGGTTGGGAATGTTGATCGATATTTCGCACGTCAGCCACGGGGTGATGGTCGATGTGTTGGAGCATACGAAAGCAGCGGTGATTTTCAGTCACTCATCGTCGCACCATGTGTTTCCGCACCATCGCAACGTGCAGGACGACGTGCTGAAGATGCTGATCGAGAACAACGGGATCATTATGGTGAACTTCTACACATCGTTCATCGGGGGAGACACCATCGATAAAGTTGTTGGTGAGTACACATTGAAATTGGTGAAAAGCCATGCGCCTCCATGAGAGCGATGAATTTCCAAGCAGATACATGATAATTTGTTTTACTCCACAGATCACTTAAATTACATCAAATCCGTTACGGGACCGGACCATATTGGTCTCGGTGGCGACTACGATGGAGTCGATAGTACCCCGCAGGGTCTGGAGGATGTTTCCAAGTATCCGGATTTGTTCGATATTCTTGCTAACGGAGCGTATAACAATGGAACCACATTTGAAGCATGGACTCGAGAGGAACTGCAGAAACTGGCCGGACTCAATTTGCTCCGTGTGTTCCGCGATGTGGAGAAGGTACGCGATACAATGGCAAACATTAGCCCGTACGAGGACTTGATTCCGTATCAGGAATTCGTCGATGCCGGCGTGGCCGATCAACCGTGCATGAGCGACATCGACATCCACAAGAGCTAACCAGGGGGCAATGTCATCGTCATTTTCGATTTTAAATGTTGTACCATATCAGTAGTGTTTTAAAAATTTCTTACCATCAGAGGCTGGTGTTGTAGTGGTTGTACTAATACACTGTTTTTTTTTTATTATACATAGTATAATAGGTAATAAAGATAATGATCAAACATTCAGCTTACGGTTTAGAACACATGCGTCACTGATTCGATTTCCATCAGATCCGCGCAGATTTCGTCAATCCGGGTACCGATCTTCTTGGCCACTTCAAGTTTCTCATTGGCCGGCAGGTTCAAGAATGACCAAATTAAATCCCCATCCACGACGCATCGCGTTGGATTGATTGGAAGCTTTTTGACGGTTTTGATCGTTCGGAATGCCTTCGGATTCAATCCGCACAGGTGGGGACTGTGGGTCATCAGCACGTTTTGCAACATGAACAGCCGACGGTAGGTCTTCTCCGGTAGAGGCAGAACGTACCCGACGCCTCCGTCCAGGGTGGCGAAATAGGTCGTATGCTTGAAATCGTAGTTGGTGTTCCGTTTGTAGGATTCCATTTCGTGGAAATCGCACTGCACTCGGAACATGGTGTTGACTTTCTGACCAAGGTGGTAGTCACACTTTCGCAGCAACCGTTGCCCTCCGAAAGATTCACGCGATTCCGGTTGGTACATGTAGGTGATGATGTTGCACTGCTCGTCCGTAACGACGAAACCCAGATTGTTGTTGTCGACGGCGTACTCGATTTGGAACACGCTCAATGGTTGGTAGTCTCGGGACACGAGCGAAAGGGTGCGGAAGTCTTCTTGAAAGCGAAGTAAACTGATGGATTTGTAGACATCGGCGACGAGGATCAGGGACTTGATCGACACCAGTTGGTGGACGAAGATGTTGGTGTCGATGAAGGCCACACCGACCAAGTCATCGTCTTTCAGTTGCCAAAGGTAGACCTTCTGACCGACCGCTCCCACCAGTAAACCGGACACGTGGGTAATTGCCGATAAGGGACCCTTCTGTTCCTTGGTGATGACCTCCTTGAATTTGTATCTAAAATAATTGGGGAAATTGCGGGATAGGTAAAAATGTAGGCACTTCTAAAGAATACTAAGGCAAAGCTTTCCACTTACTTGGTCAACGGCTTGCCCGGTTCCGGCACGACTTCAATGATGTCATACAGCAGCAACCTTCCGCGGGATGTAATGTCCTCGCTGTAGTTGTAGTTCGTTCCCACCGCAATGTACTCCTTCAAACCGGACCGCGCACCCTCGTACGATAGACTGACATTCTTCAGCGCAATTACGTGCTCCCATTCGTCTAGGTTGATCGAGGTCTCGGGGACGATTTCCCATGCCGAAGGCGTAACCAGAACAACCGAAAACTTGTGCTCCATCGGATAGAGGAACCGCTCGCCCTTGTTTTCCTCCGTGAGTTCCTTGTCTTCCCCATTGAAGCGGTAGTATTTGTTACAAACCTCCTCCGTGTCCATCACCACACAATAGACCTTATTCTCTTTATGGTAGACAATTTGCTTCGGGGAGCTTCGCAGAGGGATCTTCCGAACAGGCCAGATCGAATCGTACGAGAGATATCCAGGAAAAACGGCAATCTTCAGCTCATACTGTTCGTCAAAGTAGAGGAATCCGTTGGGACAGTTGACGTTATTGAACGGAGCGAATCCCTTTATGACGGTTTTCGCGTACAGTCTGTGGGCTCGAAGTTCCCCACGGGATGTGAGCAGCAACACGTACGGTTTTTCTCCGCATACAGAAACCCCACTGTAGCCGCAAACATTTCCAAAGTGCCGGATCATGGAAATGTTTTCGTGCATAATCTTGGTCGAGTGTTCGTCTTGCTTTTCGCCTTCCTGATCCGTGGGGGCGCTTTGGCGCGGGGCCAGCTTGAAAATCAGTCCCGATACACCGCTGGGCTGTCGCCGGAATCGAAGTTTCAGGTGACCCTTTGAGTAGCGATAGACTCGGTAAACGAGAAGATCATTCTCCAGCCGGACGAAAAGCATTGGTCGGGATCCGTGATGACCGAGGGCTACCATGAGAATTTCCTTCGGAAGAAGGTTGGGATTGAAACCGTAGGGACTGGTAAATGCCCCTGTAGTTACGTCTGCATCTGCGCTGGATTGTCCAACTTGGAGCGGAACAAACTCCATTGAATCAGAGAGGACTTTATTGCCGTTGCCGATGTTGGTAACCAGGTAAACAAGTTTGAGATCGGGCATTGAGTAGATTTCCATGTTTCCATTGTCCCTGACTGCATACAGCCAGTAGGTGGGTTTAACCGGTTGCATAAACTTCCTCCAAAAGTCCGGGTTCTTCTTCTTGGTTTCGATGGCCATATCTGCCATAGAGGTCATTTTGAAGGAACGCCCGGTCTCACCGTACAGCAAATCCTCTTCGTCTTCGATCTTCATGTGTTTTTCGGGCTTCATGTATCCGAATCCGCTGGAATAAGCGGAAGATCCACCCTTCGCAGTATCATAAAAATCTTCGTATTTTGTTGTGAACATTCCGGAAATGTCCTTGTACACGCTGATCGCTACCACCGGAGGAGTCGTACTAATGACGTTCTTATTAACTGCCAAACGGGGAGTTCCCTTACCTTCTCGGAGGGCTAAAGTGATGACTCGACCTTCCGAGGAACGCACACAAACATACGGATCAGCGATTGATACCGCTGCCAATGGGCAGCCCAGGTCAATCGGAATGTTCTGCAAGAGCCGCGTTCCTTGTAGCAATCTGATCGATTTCGTCGTAACTTGCACGATGAAACGATTCCCTCCAATATTGCCGACATGGATCGTCGGTACATTTGTCGCAAATCCCGTGTTTTCGATTTCGTTGATCTCGTCGCCCGTCTGCAGGACCATCGTTCCGGCTTCCTGCGACAAAATCATAAACGAATGCATGTCGTCGCCTTTGTCTCCCAGGACTGTCCATACATCCAGGCATCCGGACAAACCAAAACTTGTGATAACCTGGGGTTTGATAGAATTCTGAAGTACACAAAGTGCTCCATTCTTTCCGTGTCCGCTGCTTGTCACAATCTCTAGATCCAGCTTGTTCGGCACAAATTGTACATCCTTGTTTTCGTCCTGTTCTTCCTCGGAAGCCCTCTCACCTACTGCCATGTGTGCAATCGGACCAATGTTCAGAATACTGTCACAAACCTCGAAAATGTAACTCGTCAACTGGACGGAAGTCTTCTGTCCCGAACCATACACTTCCAGTTCTTCCTCCTCCAGGCGCATTCGCTTAGGTTCCTTTTCGACCACTTCTTCAGTATCGTCGATTGTAATCACCATACTCTCGTCCTTTTCCTTGAATCTCAGCAACAGTGAATTGCCCAATCGGGAACCAAGGAACAGGTATTCCTCTTCGACGACGCATAGCTAAATTATAGACAATATTTAACATCTTCGATTCGAACAATCAAACTAGCTCAACTTACACAACAGGTCAGCACACTAGCAGCAGCCTTGCTGAAGTGAAAACTGCGTACACTTCGCATGGAGTCAGCACAAAGCGTAAGAACGTAGAGCTCTCCACCCTTCAGTGACAGGACCAGCTTTTCCGGCTCGATGAAGCACACCTGCGCAGCATCTAAACTAATTCGGACTCCGTCTTGAGGTTCTGTAAATACGCACCCACTTTAGACCTATAACCTTTCCATTCATAAAGAACGGTTTACTTACTCAACGGGAAGTTAGTGCTATGATCGGCGGTACTGTTCAAGCTGACACCGTACGGCGGCACGCTCTGATTGAGATAGATCAAAGCATTGATGCTCAAGACCAAGCATCCACCGATGGGTTTACTTATTGCTATTGCCTGCAAACAATCGAACGGCAAACTGTTCACCGTCCAAATGACCGGATGGACCCGTTGTTGTATGTTCAACGAAAGTGCCACCATCATACACGTATCCGACCGGACAGCGATGCGCCTGTTGAACAAAACAAAAATCAACTCCCATTTCGTCATCCCACTCCATTTTATATCTTACCCCGGAAAAGTCTTGACCGGTTCGTACAGAATCAACAGTGTCGGTTCGTAGTACCCGTGCAGAAACTGAATGTCAATAACATTATCAATCCGCTCCTCCGATTCCTTCAGCTCGATGACATACGACGCCAGTATGGGCGTCTTGGCAATCATCTGCGTCGGCGCTTTCTTCATCGGTTTGACATCCTGCACCTCAATCTCATCCAGCGAGCTATCCTTCCGGAACGGAAGTACCACCAACTTTCTCCCGTACACCAACATCACGGCGCACCGATTGTCCGGATCAACCCGCACAATCGGCGTGTGGTAGTGTCCCGTCCATCCTCCCTTGATGTCCTCTTCCTCGAAGTAGTGCAACGAAAGGGTCTTCAGGTCGAAGTTATCCGGATCAAACTGCACCACTGACAGTTTTGCATCCTGAAAACTAACCAACAACGCATCTCGCTGCGATCCGGCAAGCGAAACAGACTGCAAGGACATTATGTTTCCGAACAGCGTATAAGTGGCCATACATTCCAGCTTCATGTTCGGTGGGCGCACGGCTAGAACGGAACAAGCCACTTTGTTTACAATAATTCAAACGCAAAATTTCAGTTGATACTTACTGGAAAACTTATCACGAGTGGCTGGATCGGCATCCGGAATTAATCGGTACACCTTGAGGATGTTGGCCCCTCCGGTGACCAATGATTTCTCATTGCTGTTGAAAAAATTGCAAGTGACGGAAAACTCCACCGCAGTGGCTTCATGGGTTTGTTTACAGATCGAAAACATCTTTTTAAGCAATTGATTTTCTTCCACTGTACTCAACTAATATCCAGACGAACTTATTGACGCACCATATCTAGAAAAAATTAGGGAAAAGAGGTATTTTTTCGCAATTTAATTGGCAATAAACGAATCTTTGCGCCGGTGGCGTGTGTTATGGACTCGGAAAGTGACAGCTCGACTAGATCGGACCGATGCCAATGAGTCTATACCGTCTATACAGGTATCACAGAAAACGGTATTTGTTGGTATTAGTAGCAAAAATGATGTTAACAATAAATGACACGAAAAACTCCTTCGGCAAAAAAGTTAAAATTGAAAAAGTTGAGTTTAACGTCAAGGAAGGTATACTTCACAAACCTATCAGGCATAACATTTGATAACGACACAAAAGCATTTGTAAACAAACTTTCTAAGGCCCTTTACACGCGAACCAAAGTACGCCCACGCAAACCAATACCTTTTTCGGAAAAGTGATAGTTGCCAGTTTGCTGATGTTAGAAGCATAAATATTGTAAACATTGCTGCTCACTCAAGCGATGACGTCACTCTACCATAACATTCCTTACTGCGAACAGTGATATTTATAGTACGTTCAGACTACAGAGTTATAACATGTTATAGCGCTATCTTGATGGTGCTTTCTGTGTTGCAATTAGTTGACAACCGTTATAACATGCTATAACTCTTCAGTCTGGACAGCGTTTTACATTACTCCAACAGCTGTTTCGTGAAAAAACATTGCAATGAAATAAGAACACCACTAAACATTTGCACATTTCACTTACACCTATAAGCCTGTTGGCTAGGACCTTATATAAAGACATTGATTGTTTACCTCATTTTTGCTACGTATACCAACAAACACCCTCTTCTATTATACCTGTATAGACTATAGTCGCTATATTCATAGTCTGGCGGATAGAATTTCGATTTAGCAAAAAGCGGAACCAATTCAATCTATTGTAGACCAACAATTGAAAAGGTACTATCAATTTTTATAAAAAAATAGTTGATTATTCTTTCCTCACCAATCTAACGCAAATAACCAGCATCATCGGATAGGGTAGAATTTCTTCAACCCAATGATGGTGTTAGTTTGCGTAGGCGAGCTTTGAGTCACGAGAAAAGGGGTTCCAAAGTTTTGTTCGCCATAACTGATGTGCTATTTTCTGTTGTTGGTCGTGATTTGCTCGATTGGTTCCGCTATTGGACAGCTCAATTGGTTCCCGATATTCTATCCGCCAGACTATGAATATAGCGACTATAGTATAGACTCATTGGTCCAACGCGACTTGTGACCTTGGTGAAATATTTCAACGGGGGAGTGGGCGCTTGATCTGTAAATCAGAGGCGCATCCAAGGTTCATAGAAACCCTGTGCAAAGGTAGGAACACTGTTTACACGGTAACCAGCGTAAACACATTAATGTGTAAAATTTCACACATTTCGTGAAAAAAGGGGCCTACTCATAAAATGTGTAAACTGCGTTTACACATTTATGTGTAAACCCAGCAAACGTCAAAAAAAGTGTATTTTTTACACATTTTTCAAGAACGATTTTTACAGCAAAATTTGTAAAAAGTAATCATTTCTAGAACTTAAATATAATGGGTGCTCATGGTTTTTTATTAACTTCGGAATTTTCTTATTTGTGTCAATGGTTAAATAAAGATTGCTCGATTATTGTATATATTTTATTAAAAACAGAAATATAATCAACAAAAATAAGTAGCGGCACCGGAGGTGTTGGTAAGCGTGCGCTGTTAAAATAGTCGCGCAAATGACAACGACCGTTACGGTTGCTCTTAGTACGTTCAGACTACAGAGTTATAACATGTTATAGCGCTATCTTGAACCGTTATAACATGTTATAACTCTCCAGTCTGGACAGCGTTTATGGCATAGATCATGTAATATAGGCTGTCTTGCAATGAGCACTCATACATCTAGTTTTCACTGGAAATCCCATGTATGAGTGCTCATTACAAGACAGCCTATATTACATGATATGAGCCATAGTATCTACGGGGTATTAGAGTTACCTCTATGGTAATACTAATACCCCGGACAGACTATGGCTTATATCAAGAGCAAATTTTCATTACGTCGAATGTAACAAAGGTAAACAAAGTTGAGCTATCAGTGTCAATCGATTCTCCTGCTATTACACTATATACTGTCCGAATATAGGATCAAATCCCATTTTTAAATTTATTTGCCAGTCAAATTGCTTTTTAACGTAATTACCTTCCGATCAAAATAGTTTTCGATGTTACTTAAGTCACCCAATTTCTATGGAGATGCCGTTTGACTTAAGTAACAGCGTTGAGAAACCCGTGAAAAGTGTACGTTCGTCGTTTCGATTTCTCATTATTAAAGTGAATAAATCGAACTGTTTGTTGCTAAGATGATTTCGGTAGTCCTAAAATGATGAATGGGCTGCACGTAAGGAGACGTAATTGATAATTCTCCCGAATATCCTGGTAAATACACTTTGACTTAAGTAACAATAGGGGCCACCAAACGACGTATAATAACTTTTGACTCAAAAACCAGTATTTTTTAGCATGAAAGCTAGCGATTTGCATTTGTATGATTTAAACCCCGCTAAATATGTTAAACATTGATATCACTATGAGATTATATGTGTTTACTTGGAAATAGGAATAACTTTTCGGTCATCAAAACAAAAATTTATTTTTCTCGGATTGGTGCGAATGTTACTTACGACATAATGAAAATTTGCTCTTGATATCATGTATTATAGGCTGTCTTGTAATGAGCACTCATACATAGGATTTGCAGTGAAAACTAGATGTATGAGTGCTCATTGCAAGGCAGCCAATATTACATGATATAAGCCATAGTCTGAACGGAGTATAAAACGCTGTCCAGACTGGAGAGTTATAACATAGAGGTAACTCTAAGACTAGTAGGTCCCGAAGAAAATCATTATTATTTTTGGCTCACTCAGTACCAGAACAACGGTCCCAAGCAGTCCCAAGCTATTTCACTCACCCCTGCATGTTCTGCATGAATCCACACACCCCTGATGTTATCTGTCAAACTTTCATAGCGAATCAAAACAAACATAGTGTAGTAATAGAATTTCAACTAGAATAGGGTACGTTAATCGTTTGCTTGGGACCAATAGGCTACTAAAGTGGTGAGCCAATTTAAAATCGTTAGTTTCGTATTGATTGTTGGTTATAACATGTTATAACGGTTGTCAAATAATTGCAACACAGAAACCACCATCAAGATAGCGCTATAACATGTTATAACTCTGTAGTCTGAACGTACTATAAGATAGTTGTACCAACAATCAATACGAAACTAACGATTTTAAATTGGCTCACCACTTTAGTAGCCTATTGGTCCCAAGCAAACGACTAACGTACCCTATTCTAGTTGAAATTCTATTACTACACTATGTTTGTTTTGATTCGCTATGAAAGTTTGACAGATAACATCAGGGGTGTGTGGATTCATGCAGAACATGCAGGGGTGAGTGAATTAGCTTGGGACTGCTTGGGACCGTTGTTCTGGTACTGAGTGAGCCAAAAATAATAATGATTTTCTTCGGGACCCAGTGGTCTTAGAGTTACCTCTATGGTTGTACCGAGAGTTGTACCCAAAAGCATGTAAATATGATTATACTCAACGTAGAGTTTCCACTATTTACCTGAGCACTGCGATCTCAGCCGATTTTATTTTTCAAGTGAGCTAGAAAACATCTTGAAAATCTTCACGCTCGATGATTTACATTATCCGCCTACAAAGGTTGATGTTTCGACAGTTTCATAATTACAATTCTTAATTTGTTTTCAGTAGGTGGCAACACCTTTACTTCAAACATAAACTACCTACGTGACTTCTGAGCTCTTTTGAATGTTTGGCTCCCGTTTGACTGTTTGACTCGGCTTCCAGATGACAAGCATTTTGAGTTAGTTCCGAGGTTAGTTCGCAGTACTCAGCTCTTTACTACCCCTGTTAGATAGTTTTTCTTCTCCGTTTTTGACAACATTAGAAGGAGAAATGTAGACGTCAAAAGAAGATAAAAATGAACTGTAGGGAGCGGCATAGTCGAGTTAACTTCACCTTCTTTTAACATCTGGCGATGGTTTGATTGTAAGGGCAGGCAAGGACATAGAATTTAAATTTGAATTAGTTTTTATTTTTTAAGGCCCAAACGCAATGTGGGCGGAAGCGGAACGGAAACGGAAAGTTTGACAGTTGCCACAAATGACATCAAGCTGTCTAACCGAAGTCGATTTGATTCTAACTTGTTTTCAATCCGACAAATAGGCTTACTCTGATCGGGCTTTTCCGCTTCCACTGCCATTGCGCTTGGGCCTTTAGATTTATCCAGGGGGAACGGCACACATTCAGATGCATTTTATTTCAAAAAAGACTTGGTAGCGCTGCTATGCCTTGCTAGCGGGATGGAAACAATCCAGCTTTCTACGCTCGGTAATGGCGACCTTAAAATGCATCTTTTACGGTAGATGTTGACACTTACTACAGGTTTGACGCATACCTCCTCCCTTTCCGCCTCCGAGGTACAGAGAACAGAGGAAAATGTGCTAACCAAGGTGACTACATATAGGTGGGTGTCAAATTCATGATTCAGCCATGTTGGATTTTTGTATGGGACAGCGACCGAGTTTGTTTACAATTTGCTCTAAAACCGCACTTCTCCCCCCCCCCCCGGCGACCACCTCGCCAATATAGTGACAAAGCTGTATCACCATTTATATACCCACCATGGTGCTAACTAGAAATACTCAGAGGGAGAGACGGGCGGAGCAAACAAAACACAATTTGGCAACACGGATTTGTTCCTAAATTATCTTGCAACCCTTGCTAGAAGCTAGCATTTTACATGACTTTGATTCGATTTGCGTACAAAATAATAATTGATTGCATCGCAATATTTTGCACATTTCTTGGTGTTAATTAACCAACTATATAAGATCAATTAACCAATAGAGTTATAGAATATTGTTTTTGATTCCAAAAACTAGTTGAATTCAGTAGAGTTTTTCCCGTCTAGTTGTATTGGTGCGATATGTGAGAGCGTGTTAGTGAAAATTCGTGGAAATTTATAACAAATCGCTGTCAAACTCATTTTGACAGATCTAATTTCATAAATTTA